CGCCAGGCCGGTGGGGCATGCCAGGGGGCTTCTGAGCCCCATGCCAGCACCTGGGACGTGGCGCCCAGCCGGGACGCCGGCACTTACCACCACGGGCTGCAGGAAGGTGATGAAGGTGCAGAAGCGGCCCCGCTCCTCGATGAGCGCCTTGCGCACCGCCTGCTTCTCCGTCTCCTCCAGCAGCAGGTACATGTCATTGACGTCCTGCAGCGCATTGTCCAGCTGGGGCTGCAGGTCCCCCTTGCCTGCGAGTGAGTGGACAGAGCCCGGAGGCATCGAGCGAGGCCCGGGGCGGCTTCTCCTGTCACCCCTGGCCCCGGAGTTGGCACCAAGGGCCCTTTCAGGCACTGCCGAGTGACCTTTCCCGTGGGAGACAGCCGGACAAGCGGAGCAGGGCACGGAGCCACCAGGGCAGAGGGGCCGTGGGGAGGCTGCAGTGGATGCGGTGCAATGGAGGGGCCGGGAAGAGGCAGAGGAAGGAAGCAGAGAGGGGGCAGCGGGAGCGCGCGGCCGGGGCGGGCGCCGGCGTTGCACTTACCCAGCAGCTCTACGGGGAGGATGTGGAAGGGAGGAAGGAGACAGAGACAGAGAAGGAGACAGAGAAAGATCGTGTGAATGGCGGCTCCTGTGCCCCCAGCGCCCTGCGCGCCGGTGCCCGGCGCCCTTCCCACGTCATCCCCCACCGTCCCCGCTCACCTTTGCGGGCCTTTTTCTGGAGCTTGAGGGTGTCGGAGGATTTCTTCTTGATCTCGTGCCGGGCGCGCTTGTACTCTGCGGGCACGGGAGCGCCGTGAGGGGGGACACGGCATGCGGCTCCCCCCTGCCCGGGCACCCATCACTGCGGGCTCCCTCCCGGCCCCGGTGCCAGCACCTTTTGCGTGGTCCTTGTCCAGCTGGTTGGCCGTTTTCTTCCAGTCCTCAATCCTGTCCTGCAACGGGGTGATGAGGCTCTCCATGAGGGCGCTGCAGTGGGGCGAGCCAGGCAGAGACGGTGGGGGCCAGCAGGGAGAGCGGCTCCAGAGCCGGTGAGGCCCCGGGCATGAGAGCTGAGGCCGGCCCCGCTTGCGACACCCGCGCGCTTACTTGGTGAACTGCCGGAGCTTGGCCTCGATGCTGCGGTGCCTCATGCACATGCGGGTGAGCGCCGAGCCGATGTCACGTGTGGCCCCTGGGAGGGAAAGGGAGACATCGCTGAGACTGCCGGGGACCGTCCCCCGCAATCCCGGCTGAGTCCTTCTCTCCCAGCTCAATCCTGGGAATCAGTGCTCCCCTGGGCAGGCAGGAGCGGTGCTGCAACGCGTTGGCAAGTGGGAGCTTCCCAGTGAAACAGCTGATAACTCTGAAACCTAAAGACGGCCACAGCGTGGCAGTGCTGCAGAGGCAGCGAGTGGCCATCCCGGGCTCCCGTGGCGCGGGAATGATTTTCCGCCCCTGGCCCCCCCCGC